CATCACCATCAGCATCATCATCGGTATCATCATCGTCGTCATCATCATCAACATCATTCTCAGTATCGTCGTGGTCATCATCATCATCATCATCATCATCATCATCATCATCATCATCATCATCATCATCATCATCATCATCATCATCATCATCCGCATCATCATCAGCATCAACGTCCGCATCTGCAGCATCCTCATCCTCATCCTCATCCCCATCATCAGCATCATCAGCATCGCCAGCATCATCATCAGCAGCATCATCATGATCATCGTTCGCATCAGCATCAGCATCAGCATTAGAATCACCACCACCACCATCATCATAATCATATTCAGCATCAGCACTATCATCAGCATCACCATCAACGTCATCAACATCAGCATCGTCCTCATCATCAGCATCAGCATCAGCATCGTCATCACCACCACCATCATCATCATCACCACCATCCTCCTCCTCCTCCTCCTCATCATCATCATCATCATCATCAACATCATCGTCAACATCATGGTCAACATCATCGTCAACATCATCATCAACATCTTATGACTCTTCCTCAATCTCCCCCTCCTGTTCCTCCTCCTCCTCCTGGCCCCCGTCGTTCGAGGTTCGAGGCTCGAGGATGGAGGTTCGGGGGTCAAGGCTCGAAGCCTCTGTCGCCACGGCTCCCCTTGAAAGTCTAGTCGAGATGCATGCCTGGGGAAGTCCGGGGGCGATTTGAGGCCTTCCCTCTCCCCCTCTCTGCCTCCTCCGCCATGCCATACGGCAGAGGAGGTGAGAGGAGTGAGATGAGCAGGAAGAGAGTAGCAGCAGCAGGAAGCAGGGATATGTGAAGTGGCGTTCACATGCAGAATGACCGAATCGTCAATATCCAAGCTTGAGCGAATCGGATACTGTCAGTGATGCCCGTATCATCGCGGAGCGGCGACGCTTCGGGTTCAACTGCAAGGTGCCACACTTGCGGCGGGGATCTGGGAACCAGCGTGCAAGAGATAAATATGATATACGGACTGCGGAGAAAGACCAGCTCAGACCAGTTCCCAGAATCCTGGGATCTGCTCTGTAGACCGTGCAGCTGCAAAAGCCTGCCAGGGTCTATGGCGCCCGACGAGCTTCGTCAACGCCGATGCATGGTCCAAGATCGACGGCCCCACCATGCTGCTCTACCTGCAGGGTGAAGACTGCAGATGCACGATCTGATGCGTCCCTGGGCCAACAACGTGGCCTCGCTCGCCCTTGCTCCTTCCTCCGCCCTGGACACCTCCATCCCCCGCCACACCTCAGCCGATCCAGAGGCCGACGCCCTGGACACCTCCGGCCCCCGCCACATCTCAGCCGATCCAGCGGCCGACGCCCTGGACGTCTCCGGCCCCCGCCACATCTCCGCCGATCCGCCGGCCGACGGGCAGAGGGGAAGGGGCAGGCAGCGCGGGTGCGGCTCGCCCTCCCCGAGGAAGTATCGAGCAGGAGCCATTGTCGTCTTGGCTGGGCCTCCGCCAACTTAATGGAGTTGCGAGGGCGTGTCGAGCGAGAGCGTCCTCCTCCCGCCCCCCGTCCGGCGTCACCTCCCGCCTCCCCGCAGCCACCGTGCCCACTGATCTCCCTGCCTCGCCTCGGCCCCGCCCCGCCCTCCTCTCTCCTCCTCGCGACCGCTCTGCCTCTTCGTTCGCCCTTCCCAGAAGAATAAAAACACACACAAGCATAACCTGTTGGCGCTCCGCGCGGATTTCTTGGATTCGCGCTGGGCCCCCCTCCCTGGCGCGCAGGGCGCGCCAGGGGCGGATCCAAGAAATCCGCGCGGAGCGCCACAAATTTCTGGTTGTGTGTTTTTTCCTTCTTCGACTTCCGCCCCCTCTCCCGCCCGGCCCCTCCACGTGCGCGGCCCCCCTGGCTGCCGCGGGCGCCAGGTCGAACAGCAGGCCGCCCGCCGGCGCCGGGCTGGTGGACAGCGCCGGCGCTGCGGGCGCCTGCCGCATGGGAGGCCAGGCGCTCGAGCTCTGGCCAGGAGCGCGAGGACGAAGCGGAGGAGGAGGAGGAGGAGGAGGAGGAGGAGGAGGAGGAGAGGAGGAGGGAAGGAGGAGGAAGAGGAGGAGAAGGAGAAGGAGGAGGAGGAGGAGGGGGGAAGGAGGAGGTCGCCAGGAGGAGCAGGAGGAGGAGGAGGAGGAGGAGGACGAGGAGGACCCCAAACTCCGACGTCGTTGATTTTTTCCGATCCTGGCGTGCCCATCGCTTTGGGCCAGGGGCCGCTTGTACGGGCCCTGCGGCAGAGGAGGCTTCTGTCAGTACGTGGCCGCCGGGCCTCTCGACCGGTCTTCGAGGACCGACGTGTCCCGAAGAACATGTCCTCGGCGGCCCGAGGGTCCAGGAGAGCCACCCCCAGAAGCCGGACACGGCGAGAAGCCTCCTCCTCCTCCTCCTCCTCGCCCTCCTCTCCTCCTCCTCCTCCTCCTCCTCCTCTCTTCCTACCGCCTCCTCCCTTCCTCCTCCTCCTCCTGCACCTCCTCCTCCTCCCCCTCCTCCCTCCTGCACCTCCTCCTCCTCCTCCTCCTCCTCCTCCTCCTCCTCCTCCTCCTCCTCCTCCTCCTCCTCCCCCAACACGTTGGAACACTTTAGGCGGCGACCCAGGGGGGGAAGTGAGAGGGAGAAGGCCTTCTCAGAAGGCGGCTGGACTTCTCAGAAGTCTTCGCGCCTTCCGAGAGGTTTTTTCTGTGCCGTCGGGGAAGGTTTAGAGAACTTCTCAAAAGCTGGGAGACTTCCGAGCCTTCTGAGAAGGCCCGCCCCTTCTCACTTCCCCCGTTCGCTTGCCGCCGACTTTGGGGAGGGGAAGCTGGATTCGCAATCACAAGCTTTAGGCCAGTGCTCAAGCCAGGCTGGGCTGCAGATTCGCATACACCTATACGACCACCCTTTGGGTGATAAGGAGGTTGGGGGGTGGGTGGGGGGAGAAAAGAGCCAACTGCTGGCAAATGAGACGGGTGTGGTGATGACGATGCTGATGACGCGCCCTCGAGTTAGCGACGACGCGTGATGACGATGCTGCGCTGCGATGTATAATGTCACTTTCGTCCCCGCTTTCGATATCACTCGATCGATCCCACTATCGACCTCACAGGACCGATCACACTCGATAGATCTCACGATCGATCTCACTATAGAGCTCACTATAGAGCTCACGATAGATCTCGTTTTCGATCTCACTATCGATCTCACTAACAATATTATTCGATTCCTTTAGCGATCTCACTATGGGTGTCACAACCAATCTCACAATCAACCTCACTGACTGCCGATCTCCCTTTTGATATCACTATCCATTCTAGCGATCCCATTCTCGATCTCACTATCGATGCTCAGGCGGGAAACCCCCGGCCACCGCCCGCCCACCGCCGACGGAACTCCAACGGGACACTAACGGGACACCACAGGACACCATGGCGGGACTGCCCCGGCCACCGCGCGCCCAGCAGAGGCGGGGGGGCGGTCCGGTGCATCCGAATCGCTCTAATGACGGCGTGGTCATTCCTGTCGCGCGCCCACGCAGCTTCGCCTCGCCCGTCCGCACGACACGAAAACGGAACCGAAACCGATTTCCCGGTGGAGGGCTCTCCGTTGTTCTGCGATCTCACCACCCTCGCCTCCGATGTGTGTATACCTATACGACCACCCTTCGGGTGATAGGAGGTTCGGGGGGGGGGGATCCAACGTCTCACTCAATCGGTCTCACTATCGATCTCAGTATCGATCTCACTATCGGTCTCGCTCGATCGATCTCACTTGATCGATCTCACTCGATCTATCTCATTCGATCGATCTCACAATTGATGTCACAATCGATCTCACAATCGATCACACAATCGATCTCACATTCGGTCTCAATATCGATCTCACTATCGATATCACAATCGCTTTCACAATCAACGTCATCATCATCATCATCATCAACATCATCAACATCAACATCATCACCAACATCGTCATCATCATGAGGGCACAGTCATCATCATCATCATCATCATCATCATCATCATCATCATCATCACCATCATAAACATCATCATCAACGTCAGCACCATCATCGGGACAACATCATCATCACCATCACCATCATCATCTCATCATCAACATCATCATCGGGGCACAGTCATCGTCATCATCATCAGCAGCATCATCAGAATCATCATCATAATCGGGTCACCATCATGATCACCATCGTTCTCATCATCAACATTATCATCAACATCGTCATCATCCTCGGGACACCGTCATCATCATGATCATCGCATCATCATCAACAACATCATCATCATTGGGGCATTATCATCATCATGAGCAACATCATCATCAACATCGTCATTATCATTGTTATCATCATCGAGACACCATCAGCATCACCATCATCATCATCACCATCATCATCATCAGCATCGTCATCGGGACACCATAATCATCATCAACATCATCATCAACATCATTATCGCCGGGACACCAGTTCCATCAACATCATCATCACCAACATCATAGGAATCATCATCATCATCATCATCATCATCATCATCATCATCATCATCATCGGGACATCATCATCGTCATCATCATCAACATAATCATCATGATCATCCTCATCCTCATCATCGGGACACTATCATCATCATCGACACCATCATCAACATCATCAATCTTCATCAATCTTCATCGGACACCATCATCAACAGCTCATCGCAGCATCATCACTCATCAATCATCATCATCATCATCTCATCATCATCATCATCATCATGCATCTCATCATCATCATCCTCCATCATCATCATCATCATCATCATCATCCTCATCCTCGCGGACCCGCGGGACCTGGGCGGGACACCGCGGACACCGCGGGGGATACCGCGGGACACTGCGGGACATACCGCGGGACACCGCGCGACACCGCGGGCACACCGCGGGAACACCGCGGCCCGGCCTCCCGGAGGGAATCATGTGGTCACGCCCGCCTCAGCCACAGCGGGACACCGGCGGGACACCGCGGGCCACCGGTTGCCGGAAGGGAGTCATTTGGTCCGGCCGCGCCTCAGCCACAGGAGACTTTCTTCTCGCCCGCCCACGCAGCTTCGCCTCGCCCGCACGCACGGCACGCACGAACACGAAACCGAAATCAATTTCATGGTAGGGGGGCTATCCGTTCCACTTCGATCTCACCCCCCAACCTCCAATATATTGAATCACCTATATACACCACACCAACGGTGTCAAAGGAGGTTCGGGGGGGGAAGAACCAACGTCTCACTCGATCGGTCACACTATCGATCTCACTATCGATCTCAGTATCGGTCTCGCTCGATCGATCTCCCTCGATCAATCTCACAATCTATCTCACAATCGATCTCACTCGATCTCACTCGATCTACCTCACACTCGATTTCACTCGATCATCATCATCATCATCATCATCATCATCATCATCATCATCATCATCATCATCATCATCATCATCATCAGCATCATCATCATCATCATCATCATCACAGCAATCAACATCACCATCAGCATCATCATCAGCCATCATCAGCATCACCATCATCATCATCATCATCATCATCACAATCAGCTCTCATCATCAATCATCTCATCACCATCATCATCATCACCATCATCATCTACCATCTAGCATCATCTATCATCATCATCATCATCATCATCATCATCATCATCATCATCATCATCATCATCATCATCATCATCATCATCATCATCATCATCGTCATCATTATCATCGCGGGACACCGCGGGACACCGGCGGGACACCGCGGGGCATCGCGGGACACCGCGGGACACCGCGGGACACCGGCGGGACACCGCGGGCCACCGGCCGCCCGGAAGGGGGACATTTGGTCCGGCCGCGCCTCAGCCACACGGGACACCAGCGGGACACCGGCGGGACACCGCGGGCCACCGGCCGCCCGGAAGGGAGACATTTGGTCCGGCCGCGCCTCAGCCACAGGGGACTTTCTTCTCGCGCGGCCACGCAACTTCGATTCGCCCGCACGCACGGCACGAACGAACACGAAACCGAAATCGATTTCCCGGTAGGGGGGCTCTCCGTTCCACTTCGATCTCACCCCCTCACCTCCGATATGCACATATACACAAGTATGTGTATATATATACACATACACAAGCACACATCATATACAGACTGGCGCACAATATTGGGGTGCGTGATTGCGAGGGCGACGGCAAATAAACAACAAAAAGAACATCGTCGTGCCGATTCACGTCTGCGTAACTTTCGTGTCGTAGTGTGAACCCGCTTCTCATCACTCGGCGGCGAGCGAGGGGGGGAAATGAATAGGAGAAGGCCTTCTCAGAAGGCTCGGAAGTCCCCCGGCCTGTGAGAAGTTCTCTAAGCCTTCCCCGAAGACACAGAAAAGACCTCTCGGAAGGCGCGAGGGCTTCTGAGAAGCCCCGCCACCTTCTGAGAGGGCCTTCTCCCTTCTCACTTCCCCTCCCTCGCTCGCCGCCGAATCACAGGAAGGGGGAGGGGGGCTGCTTCCGCCGGGCGCCAGGTCGAGGCCCAACAGGCCGCCGGCAGGCGGCGCGGCAGCAGCGCCCAGGTCGCCGAGCCCGAGGACGTCGGCGGACGCGCTGTGGTGCGGCGGGGCGGGGAGGAGGCCGGCATCGCGGGCGGCGAACGTGTCCATAGCCACGCCTCTGCGGCCTGGATGCTGGGGCGCGACCCCGCGGATGCGCAGTCGCACGGATGCGCTCCGCGCGGGGCCTCCGCGAACAGAACGCCCTGCGTCCGTGGGGCTCCCAGGGGCTAGGCCCGCGAGGCCGTGACTGCGGGCATGGTTTTTTTGCCCACGGCGGCAGCTCGGAAGAGGACCCCGCTGGGCCATGCCCGGCGGGCGGAATAAGTGGGCAGAACCATGAAGCAGGAAGGCCTTGCAAGCAGATTGGGTTTCCGCCCGCCCCCTGAAGAGGAAGGAAGCGAGACGACCGCTCGACCCTCCAAGTAGGAAGGCGCCCCGAGCAGATTCGAATCTGGGGATCCGAAGTACCTACCTTCGCTCAGAAGAGGACCCCGCTGGGCCATCAGTGCTAAGCAGCCGAGTTGGGCCCAGCGTCTCTCCTCCGCCTCCGGGCATGCTCTTGCGCCGCTGTGTTGCGCGACGCTGCGGTCCTGAGCGCCTCGGTGGTGCGATCCTCCTCCTCCTCCCCCTCCTCCTCCTCCTCCTCCTCTCCCACCTTCTCCTCGTCCTCCTCCCTCCTCCTCCTTATCCTCCTCCTCCTCCTCCTCCTCCTCCTCCTCCTCCTCTCCTCCTCCTCCTCCTCCTCCTCCTTCTCCTCCTCCTCCCCCCGCTCCTCCTCCTCCGCGTCCTCCGCCTCCCTGCTCCTCCCCCGCCTCTTCCGCCTCCTCCTCCTCCTCCTCCTCCTCCTCTACCTCCTCCTCCTCCTCCTCCTCCTCCTCCTCCTCTCCTCTCCTCCTCCTCCTCCTCCTCCCTTCTCCTCCCTCCTCCTCCTCCTCCCTCCTCCTCCTCCTCCTCCTCCTCCCTCCTCCTCCTCCTCCTCTGCTCAATTCATGCTCTTCTTGACAGAGTAGTCAGTGGAACAACAACAGAGCTGCTGAAGTCTGAAGCAAACGATGAGAAACACTACACTGTCGTACTGACGAGATGTTCCTGTTCGTATGGGTGAAACATGTGAGTGATGCCCCTTGGCAGCTGCCGTGGGCGCCTCCCGAATATGCATGTGGTCTATACGGGTAGTTCCTGTGGAGCTCCGATCAGCGATGGTATCGAAAGGGCCATCGCGGATGTTCGAAGGATGGTGTGAGAGATGACGGCCGATGTCGGTGCGCGGCGTGTCTCTTGGATTTTCGATTTTGATCAGGATCCTGGAGCCTCGAGAGTTCCACCTGGCTGGATTGTACAGGGGAGATAACAGCATAATTCAGAGCATACCTTCGCAGAGTAGAGAACCGAATGAGAGCAGGTAGAGCGTAGAGAAGGAAACAGTAGTGCCTAGGGGGTGACGAAAACATGTCGACTAAAACAGAGGGTGATGATTGAAGACAAGCAAGGAAATCTGTTAGAGGATGCAACGCAGAAGGTAGAGAACATAGTGACGGGCAACTGGAGATCACATACAAAGGGGAACCACACAACAAATATTACATCGTATAAAACGCAGAACACCACGCTCGTAATCCTCTGCTCGATGTGCACCGCGCGCACAACTGATGGGGCTTTCACTGGTTTGATTCGTTAAACAACCTGCCACGAAGAGACGCCTTCCTCAGCTTCAAGGCGTTGTGCAGCAATGCGCTGTCTATTGTGGCTGGGACCTCGCAGTTGCAATGGCAGGTGCCTGCGTGAAGATCCTATGGATGGCTCTTGTGGGTGGCTTCCACGCGCGGCTCCCCTCAGCGACTTTCCACGGACGATTTCACTGGATTCTCCCATGCTGCAGGCTTGGGAGAATTTCTCCTCACGCCGCACCAAGCCCCCAACAACACCCGAAAGACAAGTGAAGGCTTCCGCGCCCAACTTCGTCCGCATCAGCGGGCGCGTGGTCTAAACGCCCCCCCGATAAAATTCTGAGCGGGCTTCCGCCTGCGTGGGGCCCCCTGGGGTGATCCATTCCTTCAGCTGGAACTTTATACTGAGGAGAGGTGGAGCCTGCTTTAGGCGTTTCTGCTGAAGACGTCCTCAGCATCAGGGCTGAACCTAAACGGTGTCTTTCGTTTGCGTTTTCTCTCGCTTTTGTTTCGAATCCGCCTTTACCGCAAAACGAAGTCGAAACGAAAACGGCCCACGAAATCACCAAAAACACCGTTTAGGTCCAGCCCTGATCTGCCTGGTTCGGCCCCTGGCTTGGCCTGGCTTGGCCGCGCGCCCCGCCAGAGACGTCCTCAACCAATGTCCTGTTTGGCCCCTGGTTTGGTCTGGTTGAGGCCTGGTTTCGCTTGATACGTCCTCGTCCTCGGAATCTGCCTGGTTTGGCTCTGGTTTGGCCTGATTTGGGCCCAGCTCCGCCTGAACGTCCTACCAAATTGCCTGGTCCGGCCCTGGCTTGAGCCGGTTCCGCTTGAGACGTCCTCGCAATTCGCTTGGTTTGGCATGATCTCGGTCCCGTTCCGCTTGAGACGTCCTCGCAACTTGTGGTGGCGATTCGAACTGCCATACCGCACAAGAGAAATCAAAGCAGTTCGCCCGGGCCACGATTTCTTCGACACTGGATGGATGATTAACACAGATTGCGGTGGGTGTGCAAGACCCGAAGTAATGGCACTGTGCGCAATGAAGACCCATTGTGGTCCACATATAGCACGACTGCGCTACAGAACGACGAGCGGAATTGGTGTGGACATTCTCAACACGCTGCCAGTCGGCTTGGGCGCGTGAGGCGGCGTTCGGAGAAAGCCTGTCCGAGCCCGTGAAGAGGTCAAGAACAAGCAATCACATGCCGGTCGGGATCGCAATGCTCTAATAAGCAAGCTGCACCTAAACACGACGTAAGACATGTCGGCTACCGTGCCGCAAACACTATATTGACCACTCTAAATTTACGGGGCCCAAAGGCCCAATGGAGGAATTTCCTGGGAGGGAGGGGCGCTCCCCGCATCCGGAAACCTACACAAATTAAACAATATTTTGTTGTTCAAGGGTGTCGGCCCCAGAGGGGAAAACCCGAACTGGCCCCACGAGCCCTGTTGTGCCAAGATGACCCGCGAGATCGCCAAGAGGCCCTCATAGGCGTCCCAGAAGCCCCACGAGGCTTTACATCTGCCCCCCAGAGGCCCCCCAGATGCCCCCAAGAGGCCCATGAGAGGCCCATAAGAGGCCCCAAGAAGCCCCTAACAGGCCCCAATAAGCTCCAAGACGCCTTCAATATGCCCCGAAGGGGCTCCCCAGATGCCCCCAGAAGGTCCTAAGAGGCCACTGAGAGGCCTCAAAATCCACAAAACGCCTCCAAAATGCTCCTATGAGGAATCCCGAAAGACCTCACGAGGCATCCGAAAGGACTCACAACCCACGACACAGGCACAGTGTCAGGATGGGCCGAAGGCCATGACATATGTATGCATATGTATATGCATAGGTATATGTTTATGAACATGACTATGCATTTGCATTTGTATATATATATATATGTATATGTAGATGTAGATGTGTATATGTATATGTTTAGGTATATGTATGTATGCATGTGTGCATGTATGTATGTATGCATGCATGCATTTATGTATGTATGTATGTATGTATGTACGTATGTATGTATGTATGTATGTATGTATGTATGTATGTATATATGTATGTATGTATGTACGTATGTATGTATGTATGTATGTATGATCGCATATATGCACAATCATCGATACATGTATGTATGCATGTGCATATGAATATATGTAGGTATGCATGTATGTATGTATGCATATATGTATGTATGTATGCATGTATGTATGGATGGATGCATGCATGCATGCATGCATGCATGCATGCATGTATGTATGTATGTATGTATGTATGTATGTATGCGTGTATGCATGCAATCATGTATACGTGTATTCGTGCATGTACGTACGTGTGCATATATGTATATACGCATGTATGTGTGTATACATGGTTCGATGTATATATACACGGGTGTATATGTATGTATGTATGTATGTATGTATGCATGTATGTATGCATGTATGTATGTATGTATGTATGTATGTATGTATGTATGATTGTGCGTATGCATGTTCGTTTAGTGCATGTATATGTATATGCATGTGTATGTGTATATGTATATGTACATGCCAAACTATGTATATAGGTGTGTGTATTTATGACGGTATATTTACACACATGTATATATACATATGTATGTGCGAACCCATCCATGTATGTTTTGGTTTCCTGACCGTTCCCGTACTTACTAATCCAGTGCTTTGAGGTGGCCAGTCGTAGAGGTCTCTTGGGGCCGTTCTGAGGCCGTCTGGCGAACATGTTGAGTCATCTTGGGGCTCTCCTCCTTCTCATCATTCTTTCTCGTTCTCTCCTAGGTGTTCCCCCAGGGGTTCCAAAACGGCTGCGAGAACACATAGTCCAATGGCTTGGCCAGACTTTGGCCCAACGTTTGGACCCATAGGCGTTTCCGATAGGCAGGCGGCGGCGGTGGTTCGTCGTAGGCGACTTCGATATGTACACATCGGTCAACGGAACTCAGCTTGCCTTTGCTGAGGCATGCTTGGAATGCGAGCAGAGAGGGGGGAAGGGAGGACAGGAGAAGGGAATTGGAATGGGAACGGGCAACGGCAGTCGGGGCAAGAGCCCATACCGCCGACGACGTCATGTTTGTCCACCCCCAAGACCTCCAGAATTTCCGACCCCTTCCTCGGCTGCACCTCTCACCCGGAACTTTGGCGGCGGCCCCGGGGCCAGGAGACGGCTCTCGGCCGCCGGCATTGGTAAACCAACCACGCTCTTCCTGGTCGCGGAAGTCTGGGGAGGGAGGGAGGGAGGGAGCTGGAACTTCTGAGTCGCGAAAGTCCGGGAGCTGGAGAGGGGGGTCCCGTGCGGCCAAGACCGCATCGGCGCAGGACATGGGATGGGGGCCCGACGCTGACAGGCGCGCCGGCCCGACACTGCCAGAACTGCGTCGACGCGCTTCCATCGTCCCGCCCGATCGTCTTCGCCCGATGGGGAGACCGACGTGTACGGTAGGTTCGTGCGGCGACGGCGCGCGCAAAGGTTTTCGACACCGCGTCGATCGTTCAATCTTGAATCGATCGCGGCCCCGATTGTTCAAGGTTGAATCCAGTCGGGTCCAATGGCAGTACCGCGCCCATCGGTGCTTCCGCGTCGCAGAATTTAACCTTTACCTCCTTCGCTGGCGTCGCCAGCGCGTCAACGCCGCACGAACCTACCGTACCCATACCACTGCTCCCGAGACCTCTCTCGGGGTGCCCTCTGACCGGAATGCCGAGGCAAACCCAACGGCGGCGACGAGCGCCTCCCAGGAGAGGCCCCCTCGAAGGCGGAAGCGGGGCCACGGCAGCGGTATTCGTACCCGGTTCGTACCCCTTCCCGGAGGGGAAGAAAACGGGGACCATGACCAAGACTGAACGCGGAAACGGCGCTTCCATCTTGGTCAGCGTCCATTCGTGGACTGCCATGGCGAATCGGCGACGGCCGACATGGACCATGACCAACATCAGCATCGACGAGATCACGCGACAGGTCGGCACCGAGGCAAGGTGATGCCAAACACAGGGACAGGGGCCATGCTTGAAGGTGGTACAGTCGGACCTGCGGCAGAAGAACATCCTTCAAGAACACGGGATCCGCCTCCGGCCAAAACGAAGGGCATTCGAAGGTACCCTCCCCCAGGAGCAAAACATCCAACAAACACAAAAAACATTATGCACCCTCCCCGGACCGACCTTTATCATTTATCTCGGTCCGACCGTATGCTTCATGGTGGTAATTCTCCCCCTCCGAGGGCCGAGATCTGGCGGCCTTGGAAAATGTCTCGGGCGCCGTGGCCGTCTCAGAGCGTTCCGGAACGCTCTGAGATCGTTCCAGAACGCTCTGGAACGGATTTACCCTCGTCCTAGCCCCGTCCGAACAACCCCCACAAACAAGCAGGTCCAGCACAAGACCGCGGAGCCGGGGCTGTGTACCAAGATGGCGTCTCCTGGGGGCACGATGTCTGTACACCGCCCCCGCAGGCAAGCTGGTCCGGCACAAGGCCGCGGAGCAGGGGCTGTGTGCAGAGATGGCATCTCCTGGGGGCACGATGTCTGTACACCGCCCAGCTCCGCAAGCAGGCTGGTCCGGCAGACGGTGCGCGGCGGGGGCAGGCTTCAGCCTCCTCCTCCTCCTCCTCCTCCTCCTCCTCCTCCTCCTCCTCCTCTTCCTCCTGTTCCTCCTCTTCCTCCTCCTCCTGCTGCTGCTCCTCCTCCTCCTCCTTTTCCTCCTCCTCCTTTTCCTCCTCCTCCTTTTCTTCCTCCTCCTCCTCCTCCTTTTCCTCCTCCTCCTCCTCCTCCTCCTCCCGGTGGTGCTGTTCCCCCTTCGCGGGTCGAGGTCCTGTGCGTGGCGCCCGCGCCGACGCCCAGCAGGTCGGCCTCGGCCGGCCCCGCGGCGGAGCCGCCGCCCAGGTCCAGCAGGTCGGCCGCGGGCGCGGGCGCCTCGGGGGCTTCGCGGCCCAAGGCGGGCCATCGCTCGGACGTCCTTGCTCCTCCTCCTCCTCCTCCTCCTCCTCCTCCTCCTCCTCCTCCTCCTCCTCCTCCTCCTCCTCCTCCTCCTCCTCCTCCTCCTCCTACCTCCTCCCCCTCCTCCTCCTCCTCCTCCTCCTCCTCCTCCTCCTCCTCCCTCCGCCTCCTCCTCCTCCTCCTCCTCCCTCCTACCTCCTCCTACCTCCTCCCCCTCCCCCTCCCCTCCTCCTCGTCCTCCTCCTCCTCCTCCTCCTCCATCTCCTCCCTCTCTCCCTCCTCTATCTTCCTCCCTCCTCCTCCTCTCCTCCTCCCTCCTCTTCTATCTCCAAAGAAAAGGCTTCGCGGCCCAAAGCGGCGTGCCTTTTTCGACTTCGTGCTCGTGTCGGTCGCCAGAATTTCGTGCGATGTCGGGCATTCTTCGCATGTTCTCGTTGATCCAGGATGCTCCCCCGTGGTCATCGCCGAGGGAAACATGCACACGCTCGAGCGATGCCGAGCCAGAGGGCGGGAACGGCGGCTCGCGGGCGGCCCTCCTCCTGCGACGTGATGACAGCGACGTCAAGGCACGCGACTTGTGAACCACGTTTCTCAGCTCGCCACCTGGGAATTGCTCGAATGGGCACGCAGACCGCTGCGGCTGTGCGCGGGCCTGGGACGCGGTGAGAGCCACGATCCAGATGCTGCTACTGCTCCTCTTTCTCAGTCCTTGGCGTGTGGGTGGGGGGTCCGCTTCTGGGGCCTCGAGGGCAGTCGTCATCCTCATCCTCTCCCCCGCCTTCTCATGCTACTCCCTCCTCCTCCTCCTCTTCCTCCTCCTACTCCTCCTCTTCCTCCTCCTCCGCCTCCTCCTCCTCCCCCTCCTACCTCCTCCCCCTCCTCCTCCTCCTCCTCCTCCTCCTCCTCCTCCTCCTCCTCCTCCTCCTCCTCCTCCTCCTCCTCCTCCTCCTCCTCCCCCTCCCCCTCCTACCTCCTCCTCCTCCTCCTCCTCCTCCTCCTCCTCCTCCTCCTCCTCCTCCTCCTCCTCCTCCTCCTCCTCCTCTTCCATCTTCCTCCCTTCCTCCTCAGTCTTCTCCTCCTCCTGGATGAGGATGAGGATGGATGAGAATGAGAGGCAGTGGAACGCAGTGTCTCGCAGACCTGCTGCCTACCTGGGACTGCCAGCCGAGCCCGAGGAAGGATTTCCACTCGTGCACACATTTCTTGGCCTCTGGAGAAGCCTTTGGGGCGCCCTTGTGGCTAGGGAGCAGTTCGTTGGAAATCCGCGTGCGATATTATTTGCCCTACCGAGCGTCCACGCGTGGGTTCCGATAAGAAGCCAGGGCCGACTCCGCCGCATTAGATCGCATGGCTAAGGAGGAGGTTTAAGCACGTCCAGTTCAGTTTCGTACTCCAGGCAAGATCGAACTCAATCACAATCGACGTCGAAACCACACAACATGTGCGTATCCTGACACATATTACTGCATTGCCCAGTCTCCGCTTCTCATCTCGCTTGAAATCCCTTTTCCTCACACCCTCCCCGTTCTCTCCCTCAACCCCTTTACCTTCGAGCCGTCCCCCTTCTCTCCCTTCAGCCCCACCTCCTTCCCTCCATTCCCCCCTCTCCCCCTGGTCGCCGCCGTCTGCCCCACCCTTACTCTTTCCAAACCCTTGCCTCTCCCCCTCCCCCATTCCCCCTCCACCAGTCGGGCGCGAGGAAGAGGGACGAGGAGGCAGGAGGAGGTGGAGAAGGAGGAGGAGGAGGAGGAGGAGGAGGAGCAGGAGAAGGTGGAGGAGGTGGAGGAGGAGGAGGTGGAGGAGGAGGAGCGGGGAGGACGAGGAGCAGGAGGAGGAAGGGGATGAATAACGAGGTGCTAGAAGTGCCCCTGGCCCAAGGTGTCCCCAGGAGTCCTAAGGAGGCCCCCCATGGCCTCCACAACACCCCTCTCACGAGGCACGGAGGAGGCCGCAGGGCTACACACTTGGGCAAGAAGCTAGGGGCACGTTGGACCAAGGACACCTCTCGCAACCCCCCCTCCTCCCCCTCCCCCTCCCCCTCCCCCTTCCTTTCCCCCGCCCCCTCCCCCTCCTCCTTCTCCTCCTCCTCCTCCTCCTCCTCCTCCTCCTCCTCCTCCTCCTCCTCCTCCTCCTCCTCCTCCTCTTCCTCGACTCGGCCCGTTACCCGCTTCGGCCGCCGCCGCCTCCTCCTCCTCCTCCTCCTCCTCCTCCTCCTCCTCCTCCTCCTCCTCCTCTTCCTCCTCCTCCTCCTCCCCCTCCCCCTCCCCCTCGGCCTCCCCCTCCCCCTCCTCCTCCTCCTCCTCCTCCTCCTCCACCTCCTCGTCTCCTCCTCCTCCTCCTCCTCCTCCTCCTCCTCCAACTCCTCCTCCTCCTCCTCCTCCTCCTCCTCCTCCTCCTCCTCCTCCTCCTCCTCCTCCTCCTCCTCCTCCTCCTCCTCCTCCTCCTCCTCCTCCTCCTCCTCCTCCCTCCTCCTCCTCTCAAGCATTTGGGCCCGAGAGGTCTGCAGGGGAGCATCCCGACGGTCCCACTGTTGCGCGCGCCGCGCGCCCGCGCCTGCCCTGCCGCAGGCGGCGAGGCGCGCTCGCGGCTTGAGGGGCGCGCCGACGTGGCGTGACAGAGGTCGCAGCAGAACGACGACGGCTACTACCTCAGCATGGGAGCCCAGCGCCCACCCTGGAAGGAGGCAAAGCAGCCAGCAGAGCACGATCGCAGCCATGTTCGAGGAAAGACTTCCAGGGTGGGAAAAGGCGGCAATATCTTGTATGCAACACTTGCACTCCTTTCGGCAGCAGCTGGCTCTATTGCGGTCGCATTACCGATAAAGGGCAAGTTTGCAAATTGTGAAACAGCGCGGGCCGACATCAAGGCAGATCCTGAACCGCCTGATCCACAGGCCCAGGCCTTGGTGGCCCTCCTCGCCGACCGGTACAAAGCAGCCACAGAGGGCAACAACAAAGAGCAAATGGAATTGTTGGAGCAAACATGCCCTCACCTTCGAGCCCCAGAGCCGACGCCTCCTCCTGAACCCAAGCCCTTCGAGGAACTGGGGGCGGCGGCGCAAGAGCTCCGCATGGTCACGGCAGCAGGTGAGAAGTTACGGAGAAGGCTCCAACGCAACGCTGAAGAACAGAAAGACATCCTGGGGAGGCTGGCAGACAGCAAGATGTCCGAGGAGGCTCAAGCAAAGGTGGATTTGTGTCGAGAGAAAGCCCACGGAGGACAACCACCTGCGCATGCAGCCGTTCCTGGTGACGCACCTACCCCAGAGCTCATTCCAGAAGAATTGGCTTTCTTGGGAAAGCAAGAGAAGAAATACTATCAGGCAGCAAAAGAAGCCGCGAAGCAAGCACAGCAGTCCCGGGAAGCGGCAAAAGGAATTACCCAGGCTCGCAAGGAGGCCGCAGAGAACCTCCGCAAGTTCGCTGACAAGGCCCAGGAGTGCAAGCGCAGACGCGGCAATGAAGGACAAGCAGCTGTTGGAGGACCACAAGCCCAGTCTGAAGCCGCCAAGCCTCCCGAGCCTAACACAGAACAGGCGACGATTTCACTGAGGCAGGGGACGTGGACAAGTACCTGAAGGCTACTGCACGTATTCGCGAGAGGACCAAGGCGGTGGTGGCAGCCAAGGTGGAAGGGAAGCCACGTTCCTGACAATGTTCCTGGCAAGCGCGGGGTCGTTTTCCAAGGCCCAATCTGTGAAGCTCCAGGCGCCCAGGCGGACGACGACCAGCAGTGCCTACATGTACTCGTGGCGAATAGTTCGCAGTGCAGCACGTCGGCTCGTGAGTTCATCTTGGGTGAAAAGTATGACGTGGTGGGGCTTGTCGAGTACCGCCTCCAGAAGAGCAAAGCAACCGACGAGGCCCAGCGGCTTCAAGCACACGGGTGGCATTCGCAGCATACCTGGACGGCACAAAAAAGACGGGGCGCTCGGCAGACGGTACTCATGGGGGAGCGTGTTGGCTACGACGCTCGCACCTTCAGACAGCAGTGCGGTTGCCCACGGCCCAGGGGAACATCACCTTCGGGAAGGGGCTGAACAACGTCGCGGTGGTGCATTGGGATCCCAAAGGTTGTAGTCGAATCACGCTCTTCGTCCGCTACTTGGACAATGGGCCTGGCATGACGGGACCCAACGTGAAGAAATTGTATCAGCTTACGCAACTGGCAGCAAGCATTTCAACACCTTGGATGGCCGTTGGCGATTGGAACGTCACTCCAGGAGAGTTCATGCAGTCTCCTTGGGCCAAGAAGCTCAAAGTGATACCAGTGTGCCCGAACATCACAGCCACATGTTCGAGTGGCAGAGGCCGCATGTTGGACTGCGTTATTTGCCCACAGATCTCCAGGCCTTCCTTGGGAGGTGTTTCGGCAATCACGAAAGTACCGTGGAGACCTCATATGGGCTTTCACATCCGACTCGCCAGGAGGCCAGCCACCAGCGCGGGCAGAGCCGCGCACAGTTCCGTCATCGCAGTCCATGTGGAAAAAGGAATCAAGCGAAAGCAGCGAGATCGAGAACACCATGCGAAGCTCACTGAGAACATGCCCGACATTGCCGACCTCACAAGAGACGGCGAACTTTCAGAAGATATGCAGACGGAGCCGACCTACACCAGGGAGGTACTGGCCATGGTATCAGACGAAACATGGCAGAGTTTATGACAGCAGTCGGAGCATTGTGAACAGCTTGGGCCTGACACTTTCACCCAGAGCAGTTGGGCATTCCACTTGACAGAGGTTGGCAGCACACAGTTGGGGCAGCAGTACACGAAGTGGGCTCAAGCTGCAGAACACTCACTGGCCATCCTTTGTGGCAAAGAGGACCAGGCCAAAACAGTTCGAGGACGACCTGTGAAGTACCGTCTCTCACCAGCAGTCAAGCGACGCGAACAGCATTCTCAAGAGCCTGAGCAAGGCAGACATGGTCGGTGGATCGAATTGGGATCTCTACCACGGCATTTGGGAGTTTCATC